ACACTCTGACAAACACATCACATGGAAGCGGAAAACCGCCTGTTTGTAGAGGAGAATAGTCATTCAACAGGCCATTTTCCACTTCCATGTTAGTGAGTCAGAGTGTAAAGAAAGTCTCTGCATGTCTCTGCCACTCACGGCACGCGCCGAAAAAAACATTCTGGGTCTCCCCAGCAACGTTGCTGATGAAGGCACGCCGATCCTATCAAACTCTGCACAAACCCGACGGTGAAAACAACAATTTGCATGAGTGATGAACAGAATTTCCGCCGAGCAAGGGACCTCTTGCGGATGCTCAGGGTAGTACGCCCCCTTCCTATTGTTATTCTCATGAATCAAGCAGGGTGGGCAAACCCAAACCATAGATGTTGTCCAATCCTGACATGGAACAACCTGCTGAATCGATCCAACGTGTAGCCACGAAGGATGGAATGGATTGAAGATCATGTGCGTACAGATGTTCAAAGCTTTTCTTTGTATGTATGCCAGGTGAATTATGGGATGCCATCCAAATGACAGTGGCAAACGCTGATAAGGAGTTGAGCTCCTCTACATTACATTCAGGACCTATTCATTTCGCAAACAACACCCATGTGTGGCTGCTGTAATTCAGTTGCTCGTGTTAACATGAGGGACACCCGCCAATGTGAAAGATCTATGACTAGGTCACCCTGATTTTGACACAAAACCATACACTTGAGCCCTTTGGTAGGGTTCATGGGCCCAAACCTGCAGCATGCTCCAAGTTCCTGGTTCACTTTCAGTCGCCGCGTGGCCCTGAACTGGTTCCGGCTGGGCTCTGAACAGGAAGCTCTGTTGCTGGGCAGGAGACATTAGCAGCCACACAAGCTTTGTGTGTGGCAAAGTGCTTTGTACATGTTCGCTGTGAAATGCACCGAAACCACTGGCGGCGAGGTCGACATGGTTGTCAAAGAGCGCCATGAGACTATGAGACGTTGTGGAGTATCAGGAGCTACCAAATCATCCATGAAAGTGATATTGATTGGCAATGATAAAGAAAATATAACAAAATGATCCCTCAAAGTGAGTGGCTCCCCAAAGCACATGAAAACACTCCCTGACACTCCCTTCCATCGACGGGACTCCATGATCCTCTATGCCTCAGACCGAAATCTCCCTCAGACGAGGCCGTGCTTCTGCCGGTACCAAGCCTCTTCTTGGCTCCTCAGTTGGACGGCCCATCGACCGATTCTTATTCGGTTCGGTGGCGGTTTCCGGAGCAAGCCACTTTGATCTAGTTCAAGGCCCAAGATGGCCTCTGATATGGGTCTAAGTGAAAGTAAAAGTTATACCGCATCTTGGATCCCATTGGACATACCAGATCCAACACGGAGAAAAAGGCACGTGACCATTTTCGTGTGTCTTTGTTTTCCTTTGTTTGATGTTTTCGCGTTTCTCAGACCATATAGAGGAGACAAGGAATCCTTGTCCCATCATTCTCAATAATAGTAGCCATGGTGCAACAACATTCATCAAAATTCCGTTGAGTGAGCACCAATGTTCCACAAGGACAGTATTATTCTACTCTACTGACTGGCTTTGCTCCACCAATCTGTAGTTGTTTGACAGAGGTTCTGCAGAGTCAACTGATGCGAAGCCAATGTTTAACAAATTAATATAGAGACAATATCGAAAGATCATGAAAAATCGACATCTATTAGCTGCATACACCCTTCTTCCAAATGATCGATCTACAAAACAAACAAACACACACACACACACTTAGGATGAGTGCTCCGTGGAGCGTGGCTTCAAAGATTCGCGGTGAGCATTAGCACTTTAGAGTTAGTGACTGCAATACCGGTCTAGAGCGCTCAAGCCTCAACCTGTGAAATGGCCCTGTGAAGAATGGCAAGGCGAACAAGTCAGAGAACAGTATGGTTTACATCACTGAAATTCAAGCAGGTACGCCGAGTTGATCAGACTCGGTATCCCGTGATTGTGGTAGCTTCATTGAGTGCGGTCCCACAATCACGCCGCACTCCCCTGCTGCTGTACAAATAGGCAGAAAAAGTGGAGTAGAATAGGATAGGGTAGATTAGTGCCCCTCGGAACGGGGATTGACACAAACAGCTGTTTTTGTCGCATCTGGTACAATGCAATGTGAGGTGCAGCTATCAATGCTGCTGTCACACTCTGTTTCTCGATTGGGACGCAACGCTGCAGCGTAATATGCTGTAGAGTGACTTCTTGCCGCATGAAGCTATATAAGCGGCTGTGCGATGGTGGCTGCCGGTTGTGTGGTATGGGAATGTTGCAGGAGTGTGTGATGTCTGGATTAGAGGCTGGATGGTCGCAAGCGGTGACTTCCGGTAGACTGAATGTGTCGGGTGGGAGTGGAATTTGGAGAATGATGGTTGATGTTGGTGGTTGTGTATTGATAATGTAGCCCAAAATGTGAGTCTCGTCCGCTGTCTCAATATCGAGTATGTAACAATCCTGGTGGGGCCATGTGGTGATGGGTAGGGAATGTCCGAAGTCGCGGTTGAGGAAGATGTGTCAGTTGTCATCGGTGAGAGTGTGGAAAGGTAAAGGTTGGGTTGTTGTAGAAAGGTGTGGTAGGTTTCATGCCAGGAGTGTTCGATGGGGGTGATGGCAACACTGCGACATTGCCAGTGCTGGGGATAGCTGCTTGCCATTGCCGGCACCTTGTATCGGTTGGTGTTGGGGTGGCGTGCCGGAGGGACGCAAGAGTGAGGTGCTTGTTGAAAGTGGCAAGGGTGTGTGGTGGGGGGTGGTGGATGTAATGTCTGTTGGGGGAAGGTGTCTGTCAAGGGTGTGTGGTGTGTTTTTGTGGTTGGTGGTGGTTGGGGGTGGTGTGAGGGTTGAAAGGGGTTGCCTGTTGATTGTATCGCAATGTTGAGGGTGGTAGAGAATGGTCTAAGCGCCCGGGCTTGCAAAGGCTGATTACTGGATCTAATGGGAGTTGTTGGGGGAAGGTGTTGAAGAAGCTGGTGAGAGCATCGTTGATGGTAGTGAGGTGAATGTCTGCTGGGGTATGCGCGGGTGTTGAAGAAGTGGTTGAAGTTGAGGATGCATGATGTAGCTCGGTGCATATTTCTTCTGCTTGTGTTTGTATGATCTGGATCGTGCTATTCAGGTGGAAATGGTGTTGGTGGGGTAGCAGTAGTGATGGATGGAGTCTCAGTAGTTGGTGCAGGGGGATTGTTGTTTAGGTGGTGGTAGTGGTGTCTGACTGTGTTGGTGATCTGTCCAGATCTTGCTCTGGGTGCTGTGTAGTATAAAGGAAAGGACACACATCCAGTCAACTATATAATCACATCTCGTGCCCTCAAATGTGGAAAAGAACACATTGTGAAACATGTCCGTTGCCGAGTCAAAACACCATCGACTGTTACAGGTAATTAATGGGACAGACCCAACCCATACGTTACTATGGGTTTCATAGATTCAGGAGCCCTCAATGGGTCACAACGGCTCTCAGAACGCCGTCCAGGGACACCTTGCTCTTCTGTCGCTCTGCAACCTCTTGCCGTCTCTGCTGCAGCCGCTGGGCGATCACCGCCAAGGAGAGGGTCTCCTCGGGGGCTGAACCAGCCGAAGCAAAGGACAACTGGATGAGGACGGAGGGAGGTTGGTAAGGTCAAAAGGCAGCAAGTTGGAAAGATCTCAACAAGTTTGGTCTAATTACATCTGACCAACTTGTTGAGCTATCTTGTTACATCTGACCAACTTGTTGAGCTTAGTTTGTTGGAAAGAACCTATGTAAAATTATGTAAATATCTGTTTCATTAAATGCGCGTTCCTATGGCTTGATTGGGTGGCTCACCTGTCCAGGGGCCTCGGGCTAGGGAGTTAGCCTCTCTGTTTTGGAGGACCATGATGTCATGTTTGGATTGCTGTCAGTGGGAGTGTACAACTCAAAACCCCAGTTAATTGAGGAGGTGGTCCTCCCATCTATAAGTTACACATAGTTACGCCAAAGAATCGCATATCCAACTAGCCCTTCCACCCACCATGTAGGAGGCTTGGGCAACAATCCATAGCTGTTCCTCATTAGGCTCTTGCTCTTGCATCTTGAGTTTTCCCTAGTGACCTATTGATTTCGTTGCTCCCATACCTGAACACATCCACCATCTGTCACAAAAACTCCACTTCTTGTGGGCTAACCCCCTCAAACAACCAGGCGGTGTTTTCGCGAGTTTGGTGCCACCACAGTCCTCGCTTTCTAACTCCACGTGGATGCCCATCTCTTTCCTTGGCGCTTGGACGAGGAATTTCGACTGAAGATGGTGTCAAGCAGATCGCACACATGTTTGACCCCGTTTTTGGACATGCGCAACACTCCTGTTGTGGAATAGTACCCTCTTCTGCTAAGAGGGTTTCTCCTCAGCATTCACATACAAAAACATGGAGGTCAAGAAATCTGCGTAAATCCATGTTCCATCTCGATTTGCCACTTCTAAGGAGCAAGATTGCTGGAGGCGTGCCACAATATTCACACAATTCCCAAGGCATGGGTTCCTCTCAACGCGACCTGGCAGCTATGTTCTCTACGGAATATACACAAGCAACCTAGGCTGATATTTGACAAACTTATCAGTGACCTAGAGATGAACATGAGTTGGCCTTGGCAGCACACTTCCGGTAGCGGTCTATGAATGTCAGTGGAAGGTATCAACAGTGGATTCAAAGACCTGATTCCAAGCAACTGTTGTTTGAAGTTTGAAAGGGGATGGAGGTGACCTGAGTCAAAAGCTTTGGTCCAAGAACAAAATTGAGACTTCCTGTTGAAAGAAAACTCTAATTGCAGACTGTTGATCAATAAGAAGCCTCAAGGCTTGGAGATGTAAAACATTGTAAAACCATTCTGTAACCGGAAAAGGCTAATTCATCTTCAACCGTCTACCGTCTACATGACGTACCTGGCCCTGGCACTCTCTTTTTCGGCCTTCAGCCATGAAATGCTGGTATGTTTTTAAATGGTTTGTCTAGACTCGGTCGGATCATATTCCACATTAATTGTTGCATAACTTGTTCCATAATAACCCATACTGCCATAGGTGAACCTTCGCAGATCTGCCATGTCTCGGGACGCTGTGCGGGTCTTCAGCCGCAGCTCGGCGCACGGTATCGCAAACGGTGCCGCGGACCACCACGGAGAGTCCTTGAGTGGAAGCGGAGGGTCCTTTCACAGGGAACCGGTGAGACCTTTGATGTAAAAGCATCGCTTTGCTGTCCAACTGGGAAAGAACCATCATCTTCCGATTTCGCGGGATTCACCCATGAAAACATCAACATCATTAAGCATCAAAGCAAAGCCAGGATGGATACAAGCCCGGTGCCTCGTCATTCGACACCATTGCTCGGGGTCAGTTCGCTCGACTTCGCCCACGAAAGGCACCCCACGTGAAGTGGATAACTATAATGGATAACTTATTCTAGGTGAAACTCCACACGAACTTCACATGCTCGGCCCACGAATGGCTTCGCCCTGCGTGAAGCCCTGCGGTCCAAGCGTCTCAAAGTGGCGATCATCTCCCGTGTCACCTGCCAGGGCGCGTCCAGCAAGACATCGTCCACGTAGCGACAACCCAAGACCTTGAAGGTTTCAGGGCGCGTGGGGCTCGAGTGGGGAAGGCAGGCAGCCTTGCAGGCAGGAGGATGAAGGGAGAACAAATCTGAGACTTCAGAGATCCACCTTGCCTGAAAACGGCTTTGTTGTTGTTTTTTGTTGTCGAATCAATGGTCTGGAAAGCAAAAAGGGTGGGTTCGTGTTTGGAACAGGCCGAAAGGTTCACTGAAAAAAGCATTCAAATCTGGTGGAGATAAAAGTGGAAACAAACAAAACAAACAGCGTTGACCTTTGTACCGGGTAATCACCATCATTCACACGGACTGACAACTGAGCAAGGTCAGCAAGTTGAAGTCTGAAACAAGCAGCCTGCTAAACCAACATGGCTTATCATGGCTTCACTGCTTCAATCCAATTGACTCCAATGCTTGGTAACTTCGCAACGTATGACATGTCTTGATCGAATCTTCAATCTGTTTGTTTCTTCTTAGAAGTACATATAGGGGTTTCAGCTCGACGTTCAATGAACATATCAAGTTGGACATGAACTAAACTTGATTCTCCTCTGCATCACCAGGCTACACTAAGAACACGCTCCTGCATATTCATGATGGGATAGTTGGAGCCACGATGCTTGTTCACCACCTCCGCAGGCGGCTTGCTTCGCGCGAAGGCCGTGTCAAACGCGCGAACACCCGGGGAGACCGGGATCGGTGAGCATCAAGCTCACTTGTGTCGTGTCTGTTTGAGGACAGAAAAGGCAAGGAACAAGCATCGCATGTACTATCACAACAAGCATGTTTCACATGTACTATCACATGTACAAGTATGATACTCCTACAGCAACAACATGCAACAACTACACTACACGACGTACGAGGACGTATGAGTTACTGAAAACGAGTTCGGGATTGCCACCATGGGGATGGATGGGATGAGCATCTCACCGTACCCAGATCCAACCACTGAATCCCATCACCGGACCATTGAATGTATATAGTTATATAGTTGTTTTTGTTCGTGTCTTTGGATGCTGTGGAATCATCGAAATCCGTCCGGCACTATATAAATGGGTTAACTCAGCTGTCTGACAGACCACTGGCAGCTCAGCATGGCATGGTTTTCCCCTAGTTAAGCTGATGTAGGACGAACCCCTGAGCCACCCTGATCCTGAAGGGAGACGTCCACCAAATGGTGTGCTAAAAACCGCCAACTTCAAAACCCAATCTCCCATCGAAGAAGAGATCGAAGACATACTCCGCTCGAAGTCTGCGAGCAATGGAGGCCAAATATTGAGGCTTTCAGCAGTTCAATCCAATAGAATCGTATCAATCAGATCTAAATCCACTGCAAAAATCCAGTACGCCGACGCACCAAAGACCGGCGCAATTCCAACTGACATTGGCCCCACCGCGTCAGCGTGCACTCCCACGATGAGCAAATCACCCAAGTTCTTGGCCTCACAGCTAACGCAGAGGTGTTTCTGCCAAAACCTCTGATGTTTGGGGAAGAGACATGTGTATCATTGTGTATCTTAATAGGGAACCCCCCAACAATCCCCCAGCCCTGGTTTCATCTATTTTCCTCGGGAGGTCTCCCTATTTAAAAACGAACCCATATTGGCTGTCAGGAAACCCAGAAATCAATTGGTTTGTCATTTGCTTGTTCTGCCATGGGTATTTGTCCCCCTGGCTGCTGTGCGGGACAGCCATGTGTGGGCCTTTGGATAAATTGCCGTGGGACAAGCCTGAAAAACAAAACAAATGAGAATAAACTATCAGGGATGCACAAGAATACTTCTGGACGTATGGATCTAGTAACGTTACAAAACTACAGCAAGTCAATCATACTTTAAACATTCAAAAAAACAAGAAACAAGGTTATACTGTGAGGTATGAAGCAAAATTGTTGTTTGCCAGTTCCAAAATGGCCTACTTGACACCGTTGCCGAATGTTTTGGCCAATGCGTTGGCTAGGACCCCAATTCTGGACCCCACAGAAAGATGTACAACCTATTCACTTAGTCGCACTTGGCCGCACTATCAGGAGGACGTGCACAACCACCCTGGTGGGTGGGGCGTTTGGAGCCTTCGTTTACTCTGATAGAAGCAAACGCGAACAAGCGTACATGGTGCAAAATTGAGTGGACATCCGTAACATTCCGTAACTATATAAAAATTAGGCTACTCTAGGTTCACTTTGCTTATCAGAAAAGTCTCCAACATCTCCCACCCCACCCGCCGCCCTTTCCTACCACTGGCGCCTTCCGTAGCAGGTCTACATGGCCACAGTGGAACATGTCCCAGGCGCCATCCACGTAGACCACCTGGTGCGGACGGAGGAACGGACCTTGCGGCCAACGGATCGAGCGATGGCGCTGAGGGCGGCTCCGCCGGTACATCCATCAGCAAGACCCGCAAAGATCTGGGCTACTGGATGCTTACTTTGAGGAGTCACGCTGATATCTTTTCTTGCTAAGCTCCTATCTTTGGCGGTCTTTTGGGGGGGCACTCTCAACTCAGTAGATCGGAATCTTCCTCTTCTACAAGTTCTGGGTCAAGGACACTGCTGATTGCAACTAGCCTGCCCGGGAGACACCATGTGTATTTCCCCACCTGTCGGGTGAGGGTTCTTGGACTTTATGTCAGCTGCCTTCTTCCTCCTTCTCCTCCTCCGCGCCCGCCTCCGCCTTTGCCTCCTCCTCCTCCGCCTCGTCCTCAACCGCCAGCTCCGGATGGCAGTGTTCCCCGCCAGACCTCAACCGCAAGTGCAGGATGGCAGCGTTCCCCGCCGGACCTCAACCGCCAGCTGCGGATGGCAGTGTTCCCCGCCGGACCTCAACCACGAGTTCCGCTTGGCAGTGTTCCCCGCCGGCAGTGTTACCTGCTATAGAAAAAACAAGCGCGGCCTGACTATTATGTGCATTACTTTCGTGTTATAGTGGATTGAAATGTCATGGTGGGGATCTCTCGAAGTGAAGTAATTTAAACTTTTTTGGGGGAGGCCCCTTGCCGAGTGAATGTGATTGGCGTGAATACTACTATATATATATATATATTGTTATTTATTGGATAGTTTGCTTTGGCCACGGTCACATTCAAGCATGTACCAAAACTGATCAACCTGGATCTCGTTCTTGGCGTGATCCCTCCCTCAAAGACTTCAGAGGCACCTGGCCACCCTTGTGCCCCGGCAGCGCGCCAGAGAAAGCTCTCAGCAGTTGGGAGGTCACCAAAAAGCTCGATTGCTGCGACCTCGGCGCAGAACACGTTGGGCCGGACGGACCAAACAGTCACATATATACATACTACATATTACTACTACACTTGTTGTAACGTGTTTCAATAGTGTTCAAACGTGCTGAATGTTAGACGCATGGAATCGCTGTCGATCCACACCCCTCTCTTGGTGAGGTTCACGACGGCTTCGGGGGAAAACCAGTACCGTTATATCCACACCAGCAGATCAGCCCATCGCTACGAAGGACGATCAAGCACTCCGAGACGCGCGAAAACGCCAGCAGAGGAGGTGGCTGACTCTTCTAGGAGGTTGGTGTGATGATCCTGGCAGGCGAAAAATCGCTGCAAGGACCCTCTTGCAAGACACGTCTTTGCAAGGACCTGGAGATTTGCAAGGTGTGCTTTCTTCCCGATCTGTTGATCCAAATAGTAAATCAAAATAAATCCAAATGGCATTTGTCTGAAAAGCGGCCTAGGCTAGGCTACTTAGTGACAGTGTGTTGTTTTACCTCATGTGCTTTCTATTGTTGCTGTCTATTGTTCCAAATGACTGCGCAACGGCTTACTGACGGAGCCCCTATCATCGGGCCTGCGTCAGGAGAAGCAATCGTCCAACGATGTCAGTGGTGGAGATGCCTTCCTGAGAGCTGTCGTTGCATGTGGAGTCCCTTTTTAGCATGGGAAGCTCTAACAAACATCATTCGGATTTGGACCACAAGACCATAGAGGTGTCAATTTGTACTGGAATGAAAGGCCTCCTGACAAGCTCGGGATGCAACGACAAATGAACAGCTTGACATTCTCACAAAAGAAAATCAGGATGGAAATGGATGGAATAGGATCAATTAGGGATGCTCTCTGCTTTCTGCTTCAACACCCTGTCCAACAAATACTCCCTTCTTTATCCTTCTTGAAAAACCCATACGTGACGAGTTCTCACGTCGACCTCGAAGAAATCCAAGGGATGGATGAGTTGGACCACCTCCAGCTAGTACTTGGATTTGTCCAGGACAAAAAACACACACTGACACACTGCTGCAGTCACCCGGGGGGGCCCATCGTTCGCCTTCACCCACAAACACACGAAGAATCACTGAAAACTGGACACGTCGTGATGGTCCCCTAAAAAACCATGTCTCTGTGCGTGGGATCGTGCAAAAGCGGCCAGCTTGGCGCGCTGATTCGTACCTGAGACATCCAAACGTGCTAAACAACGGCAGTGTTTGGGGATGCTGCCAGAGCGGAGAGGATGCGAATCTTGCACCACGAAGACCATATATGATATAATATGATATTATACAAGTACATGACACAAATACCTGTTGAGCAAAGACAAGATCCATAAAACCAACAGCATTTACGCCGACGTTGTTTGTTTCGCAATCGACGCACATGATTGGTCCCAGCCCATGGTGGACCGAGACCAAGTTCTCTACTTGGACAGTCCTACCACAACTGGTTTACAACTATAGGTCGTGAGGGCTTCAATGATGGATGAGTGCTTATGTTCATGAGAAATCATAAATCTCTGATGCATGTTGCTGTCAAAACCCTAGGCTACAAGCAACAGAAACCAAAAGAGCAGGACAAGTGACACATCACGGCCATCCACGATGCAGGGGTCATCGCCATGGACAAAGTAATCCTTTGTGTCCAGGAAAGCAAGACCACTCAGAACTGCGATCTATGAAATTTGGTCCTTCAGGATCATATCGTCATAGTCTCAAGGTAGATCCCTCAAAGTAGACTTGGAAGGTTCTTGTACATATAGGTACCCGCAGGCTACGCCCGGCTGCGTTTGTTTGGCCATGGACTTCTGACTCTTGAAACAGTTCAAACGTACTTTCAAAAGTCTATGCAATGATCAAGCGAGAATCGATGCCCTTGGACTCCACGAGGTCCTCGATGTATTCAGCTGTCCTTAGCCCAGGCGCTCCATGTACAGCATATACGCCCATCACTAAACCCTCTTCAACCACCCCAATTGATCGGTATATAGACCTGTCTGGGACGTGTTTGGGTAGAAAAACGCAGGAAACGAGAGTTCCCGAACGTTTGCCAACGTTTTGTTGAGCCCCTGAGCTCATGGGCCGAGGGAAATTCCAAAGGCAGCAACTGCTGAAACTGCTTAAAATGATGAAACCGAGTTGGGACTGTTCCAAAACACATTTTGACTACTTGTGTTTCGACAAATTTTTCAATCTATTCTTTTACCTGGCCACAGCACACCCCAATCCCATGTCTAGTTTTCCTTCATCTCCGAGGGCCTTTCAGGTTTTCACGGTGTCCACCAAATTGAGACATGCAGATACATTGATACATTCACTGTGGACAACTGTGGCACTTTTGGTAGGGGTGGTGTGAGAGAACCAACCATCAATCCAATTGAAACCCATATATCATACATGACATATATATATATATTGTATATACATATGTCGAAAGAAATTGTGGATTCCAGTTCTGATAGAGGCTATCCTTGCTGTTGGATCCTCAGGATCTTCTGCTCTGCTAAAGGCTCGAAAACAAATGTTTGTTGTTGTTTGGAAAAAACAAATATTGGACTCACGTTGACGTTCCATGTAATTACCGGGCTGTGAAAATATTCGAAACAAAAAATCAATGTGGTAGCGCCATCGGAGAATAGGCAGCAACATAGAATGACCTGATAGTGGAAAAAAACATCCATGATGCATGCCTTGCAATAGCCCCCCTGCCAGTACGTGCAGCTGTCAACAGGCATCACCAATTGTGAACAGGTGGTTTCGGAATTTAGGTGAATCTAGCAACATACCGTCAATCGCTTCGCAAACTGCGGCCAAGCGACATAATGTATGGGGACCTAAGATAAGCACCGATGAAAACCCTCCTTCGTGGAGGGAACAGGAGGGAACCAATGATGCCTCACCTACCCGTGACTTGGGGGCAACAAGTAAATCTTTGCAAACGCAAACCATCTCTCATGTTCACATCCTCTGAAAACCTGATGAAAAGGTCCCAGAGAACGTTCAACAAGGTCCGGGGGTCCGGGATGTCACGTCCTTCCAAAGCTCTAAACACTCCATGGGATCTGCCTATTTACCTAGATTTGGGTGGCTGAAGAGGGATCAGTGTAGGCATATAAATACATCACCTTTACACCTACCTGGAGCAACCTTTGTATGCCTGAATTTGTGGTCCACGTCTACCTCTCCGGGGACACCCCATCATAACATACGTTAGCTTCTTCGTAAATATTGCCCTTTTGGTCCAGCATTGCACTTTTTCTTGTGCTTTGAAGTATTACACCTCTTTTTGAAATGGGCGGTCCAGGTATACTGTTGTTCACTAAGGGTCCAAGTGTGCTGTGAGGATATGCTTTCCCAAGCCAGATGTGAGAATAGGTAAGTGTCTTTGTCCCAGGGTTTGGGCTCAAAACCCGGGCTGAGAGAAAGGTGACCTAGTTCAATCCTCTTGGCTGTCTTTGGAATTGCATTGCACTTTTGAAGGGAAAACCGTTGATAACGCCAGAATCCTAAACATGAAGACAACTAGTACCTTGTACTCAAAAGTCCGAGGATACTTGGCACCTCTCTGGTACTCGACTAAAGCACAGCCAGCAGCTCGCTTGAGCTGTTGCGTCAAAGCGTGCCCTCGCTCTGGAACCTTTACAGGCCGAGGACCCAAGTGCCCACAGCCTCTACTTTGTGCCTTGTGGTACTTGAGCCTAGCTGAGCCGTGACAAGTAACTTGAAGTTGTACTATACGTTCCAAAAGTTGTGCTATAAGTTCAATAAGTTCATATTGTAACATAAGTACCTGCAGGGTCCTACTTATGGAACATAGACGTAACTTAAGAACTTATAGTACTTATGTCGTTGGCTACTTATTCTACTTGTTTCCACTTATTGTTTTACTGCGCTTAGCCGATTTCGACTTATTTCTAGCAATTTCTAGGAAATCTAGACGTATTTCAAAATCTTTCTACTTATTTCTGTAGCTATGTTTATTTATCTTCAGTCTATTTTGAGAACTTCAACATGTTTTCTACATAGGGTTCTACTTATCTCTGTCCATTTTTTTCTTATGTTCTATTCGCCTGTTCAACAAAACCATTCAAACGTGGATATGTCTGGACGCGTGCGTTTGTATGATGAGTTTGCTTTGTGAAGCGGCCCAAGGGACGCTCTGTTTTGCATCTTGGCACGTTCGTATTGGCCCGGTTGCTGTTTTCCCACATGTTTCAATTTATCATAACAAAATGAAACAAACAAACAAACAAACAAACAAACAAGCAAGCAAGCAAACAAACAATATGTTTTGTCATTTTTGACACAATTATTGACTGTAGTTTTTGATGTAAATGAACTTTGTTGGAATGCGTCGGCCCGTTCCGATACATTCTGACACATTCCGATACATCCCGGTACATCCCCAAACACACTGGTCAACAAAACTGCTATATGCCAGGTTTCTTGACAAACTTTTATCATAACAGAGCGCCCCTGAGGCCGCTTGCACGCCTTTATGTCCATTCTGTTTACCCGACAAATCATGTGAGGGCGTCCCTTCGGCCGCTAAGATTTTTACATGTGGATGTGGTTTATATGTTCAAGAGAAAATGTGTCCTTGGGTAGGAAAACAAAATATAGGAACAAATACGTAAGAAAAAACTCTGTTTCCTACTTACATTTCCTACTTACTTCCAGATTTTTTCTAATCTGTTTAATGTTTACTTCATTTCTAGTTATTTCTACCTAAAAGTAACTTATTTTGTTATAAGTTCAATAAGTTCACTTGAGCAACAAACTGAATCACAAACCACCGCGTTCACTACCACAAGTTCGAGGTTTAAAACTAATAACATAGGTACCGCGCAAGCACAAGAACATGCTGTGACAAAGCTCGGTCCTGCAAACTCGTTAACTTCGCCCTTTCCTTTGCCACCGGCGCCCTTCCCAATTTGTTTTTGGGCACGCTCCAGGCGACGCCGGATCCGATCTTTGCGTGCACGATCCTCAGTCACATCCAAGCAATCTCCATAGAGCCAAAGAAGATTGGATGTTGATGTGGAACCAGGGCGCATAAAGACCAACCACAGCACAGCATACACTGTGATGGCGGGGATTGGGCGCAGCGCAGCTGTTGGAGACAGAAAGGACACCAAACAAAGTTCCAGCAACATCACCCAAATCCATGGTGTGCTTTGAGTCTGACCCAACAATTCCCAATGGTGAACAGCCTCCGGATAGCTTACTCGGACCAAATCTTCAGGGAAAGATTGTGCCTCCAGATCAGCAAAGAATGTATTCACATGCGCGGTGCGCTGCACTTTCTTCTTGAAGGCCTGTTCTGCCGTGGCTGCCATTGCTTCAAAGCTTGCCAGAGCCTAAAAGTCAAACAGTCTCCCAGAGACGCTAGTCTGGCTTGAGGACACAACGCGTCGAAAAGCAGCAAATTGAAATGTACACATAGAAGACTGCGTCTCATTCAACAACGTTCGAGACAGGATCAACTACAGAAGCAAGTGAGCGCTTGCATTGTCAAATCTGCCTGAGAAGAATGCTGCCAAGAGACAGCAGTCTTCACCGACCTCAGAAGGCTTCAAAAAATGGTGCCAAAAAAGGGCACTACCGTAAAATACCGTGGTCGGAGGCAATGAAGGGCCAGTCAAGAAGGCGATAGAGCGTGCTCGCGCGTTTGCCTTTACCGCCTGAAGATTGTGAGAAGGTGAAGCGGCGTTTGCAGAGATGCGGCCGTGCGTCGTGGCTTCTCTTTGGTAGCCTTTTTTGTATTTTGCAAGAAGGGGAAAGAACAGGGAAGAAGGGTGCTTTCGGCTTGCTTTTGATTGAGTTCCCAGAGCAGTTCCGTTGTTTGTTGGGGTCATACGCTGGTTCAACCTGTGTATACATAGTGCGTGACTTTTGGTACTTGAGGCTTTAGCGAGGTACAGCTCTGTTCATGATTCCACACGTTGATTGTGTCCTGTGCATCTCCACTGATCTTGTGTGCGCTTGTTTGTTTCGTTGCCGGCACAGAGCGTACGCTGCATGGCGAGCGATGCATGGATAGCAATGGCTAGCAGTGCTGTTCAACCTGTCTTGACAATAGCATCCCTATGTGTTCTGGACCTAAAGGTTCCTGGCTCAATGTGTTCTTGCACACTGCTGCGCAACATGTTTGCCCACATCATATGAGCGTCAGACAGAACCTGTGGCGCAGTCCCTACTGGTGCCCGTTGAAGTTAATACATTTTGCATGTGGGATACTAAACCACCATGGAACGCCGATTTGCAAAAGTCAGTACTTAAGTCAAGACTGCTGGCCTTCCCCATTGTAAACGCTACATACAGAACAAGGTTCTCCAGATTCGCCTTTCCAAAAGGAGAAAACTTCAACTGCAAATCCCAAAGGCAACGCAATTTGGAGAGCCACTCGACGTGGTAACTTACCCCATCGCACATGAACTTGACCCACCCCCATGGCACCCCGCTTACCCCACGAATGTAAGAACTTACCCCATTTGGACAAAATGACACACCGCTTCGAAACAAGCACTTTTTCTCCTAGATTGCTTCTAAACCTACACTATTCCATTGCGATTCAACCTTCAACATGTTAATGTTTTCAAGTGTTATCTATGGGTTGCCGTGATCCAATCCCCATGGCACCCCGATTCTGACCCACAATCCCAAGATGAAGGGGAACCTATGGGCTGCCTATAGAAACCTCTAGAAACAACCTATGGGTTGCCTGCCAACTTCCTTCCGGTAGGTCTTGTGCAATCAAAACACTGTGAACGCTGAGTAAAACAAGCCCATTGAATAAAACCGTGCATTTAGAAAACATCTTCCAACACACTCTATCCTGCAAGGAAACGCTATAGTGTATCGACTTCCTGGTTTGCTCATCACCTTCTATCTGCTATTTGAAAAAAACACGTCTCGACTTCAACAACTGGCAGTATCAGCTCCGCAGGTTCATGCAGGTTTCCTACGTCCCTTGTCTAGCAAGCAACTACTTTTCTCCTTATACTAGGTTTTGTCCGGCGCTCGTTCATTTAGTGCGGCCACCACCTGCCAAACACTTTGGGGTTCTGGCAAGAGCCTCCCGCACAAAGAAGCATAAAGGTGGTATGCGACACCACTTGGACTTCATAGCTCTCATGGGCAGTCACTGTCACAGTGGCGGGTTCCAATTGGAGTTTATAACCTGGCTAGGTTCTCGGAATGTCTGGGCGCCTGACCACTTCACCAAGTGGATTTTGGGTTAAGCTGTTGCATACCGATTTGCTGTGTTTGGTTGTGCTTCCATCTCAATACACTTGTATGCTTACATTGTCCTGGGGTTGGAACCTTTTCTGAAGAGGATTGAAGAAGTAGTGGGTCCTTTACTTGTGTAGGCACCAGGGTTTGCGGATCCTCCCGCATAAAGATGTCACCAGCTTGGAAATAGGGCTCGACCCCAGGACAGCTGCTTAACCGCTTGCTGTTTGTGGTTGTGTTTCCATATCAATACCATTGTATACTTACATTGTTCTTGGGACCGAACCCTTTTTCTGTGTATGGCTAATGCGTGCATGAGTCCATGAGATCCAACTATCCAAGACGATGCGGGAGATTTCATTGATTGAATCCATGGAGCATCCCTTGGACCAAGCACTTGTGGTACATGCACCTAGCTTAGCTGAGGAATGATTTCTCGCAAGTACCATGCATTCGTCTCAACGCTTTTGTTGGGAAAATTGCAAGTCAGAGCTAAAGGCTGTTCAAAGACTGCACTTGGCCTAGGTTTGACACTGAAGCGCCACCCTGTGAGGGCATGGAGCTGACGTTGCTCAAGCGTTTCTAATTGGTTCTGGCTGGAAACCATCAGCTTGACCAGTTGGATTTGACTTGAATGGGAGAGTTAATGAACCAAATAATTAGTTGCTGGAAGGGAGTGGGATTGGAACCCCGTTCTGAGGATAGTCCTGGACAAACCCCTTTCCTCAAGATAGGCCCCCATCCAAAGTTTGATTCATTATATATCCAGGAGCCTTAGGGATTATATCTATATATATATATACATCAAGTAATAGTAATATATGTGTGTGTACAAACATATTGCAGTCCCATGGAGTGTTTTGCCTGTGGGATGACTAGCCGTGATCCACCTGTTTCGGCCGTCACCGCCGATCTGTGGACGACCCAACAACCACCGATTCGGTCGCTGCCAAGCTGCGCGGGGACGATCCTGGGAGCGGTCGGCCCGGTTATGAGCAGCATGGTTGTTGGGAAAACCGGAAGAAACACAGAGGGAAACAGAAGCCAAAACTGTCTTCTTGGTTGAAACTTTTAGCGGTTTCCGCACTCGCCTCTACCTTTTCCGCACAAGTGCCCACCCTACCAGTACAGTCAACTGGCTGCCCATGACCCACCTCTGCCACGTAAAGGCTGAGGTGCTCATCCACAAAGCGGCAGCCCAGGACCGCACGCTGACGCTCGCTGTTCTTGAGCACCGGTAGGAAGCCCTTGGCCTCCCATAAGAACACAAGAAATAATAGCGCATCAGCCAGTATGGAATCTACTTTTTTGTATCAAATTTTCTCAAATGTTGTGCAAGGTTTGGCTGCCAGTCACTGCCCGAAATCTCTAAACCTCTGAGAATCTATCCGAACGATCCTTGTGTGGTGCTTCTTTTCATTACATGTTCACGGATCATACTGGAACACGATAAAAGAACTGTTTGGCGCTTGTAGGTGTGGATACTAGAATATGCTATCATGCCATTCCATATCATGTCAATCTGTCATCCCTAGTTTTGGGATTTGTGCTTGATCTATCCATCTACTGCAGGTTGGAGAACGGGGTGGGAAAACATGTAGAAGTAAGGATCATTGGATACTGATATCTATATCTATATTTATATATATATATATCATATATCACTGTATATATCCCGAATGCTCCAAGTACCTTCTGACCTAATGTGACTGGGGGCGCGGGTGCCAGCCACAGTCATACCTTCGTTTCGGTACGACTGGAGCCCGGCCGGGAATCAAGACAACCGGAGGCATCCATTTTGCACCAGCCAAAGCGGCGTCACTTGGGATGTCCAGGTGGATGAGCAGATGATCACCCGTGGGTCATCACCGGTGGATGATCTGTAGTCGTACTGGGGCCGGAAAATACTGAGGGGGGTATGACAGGTCCACTAGGGTCATCCACTGAAATTAGATTAACAGGTCATTCAGGATACTGGGGGAGTCTAAGTTTCCTTTTCTTTCCTACTGGAATCACCGTCTTCACCCACGGACGGTCTGCGCTTTAAGCCGCCACCGACCTCCACCGACCGGACCCCCGGAAAGGTGACGAGGTCCCCGGTGAAGCGGTCCGGTGGAGGTCGCAGTCTACTCGTCCGAGACTCGATCGAATCCAATGTACCGAGACGTGGTTCACGACGCCAAGCGACCTGCAACACCGACTCGTCGCTGTTCACTCCGACCACCAAGTGCCTCAGTGCGACGACCGGAACCATCGGGTGGTCTGACCGTGTGGAGCCGTGGCATGGCACGGTGTGGAGCCGGTCAAATGGGTTCACGAAATAAAACATGATACAAATATGGCCCGGCAACATATGGCAGTGGCATGTTGATCGCTGGCGATATTTAGTTGGTACTTGAGAAACATGTGGTAGGCAAGAAAGCTGATCCTTTTGTGGGTCGGAAAGACTTACTCAATTTAACAAAGGTCTTGTCTTCGACTTAGGATACTGTCTGTATGTGAAGAAAATCCTTTCTTGGACTAGAAACTTTGGTATTCTTTGTGGGTCAGAAACATGTCCAACAAAATACACTTATGTTTCTACTTCATTCTACTCTTACGTACCGTTTTCGAGCTTCGTAGGTACTGGTGTCCAACCGAAAGGCTCAGTTGATGGGTGGCAGTAGGTTCAGTTGAAAACAACTGCACCCTCGAAGTACCTTTAAAATCCGTTAAACACAGGAAAAGTACATACAAGTACCATCAAGATCCATCAAGTATTTATGCGTATCCGTTGGTTGGAGGGTCCTGGTCCAGGTATGGTGCAGCGACGGACTCAGTACAGGGTGTAGGTTCACCGCAATTCAGCAGCTGCATCACTTCTGCATCACTCTGTTTCCTAGTCAGGACCCAGTACGTCGCGCAAAGGCGGGCGTCGCTTGTTCAGTGTGTACAGTACTTGGACCATCCTGTCTGGGTGTCCAATGGAGATTGGAGATCCCTAGAACATCTGCTTGCAATAGTCCATTGGACGCCCATTGGATAGTCCTGGTAGAAATTTTCGAGAATGCATCTTTGCCACAAACAAAATACCTATGCACCAATCAACATCTCAGTTGTACTGGCGTATCGAAATCAACTCCGATGAAGCAAGAAGTAGATCAACCGACACTCAGCTTAGCCTGTGGTACATCAAAAGACCTCCTTCCCCAAGTCTGCACTTTCCGCATGCAGTGAATTGGGTCCTGAAAGAAAGGCAGTTCCATGGTCAACACACCCCTAACTGTCCTAACTGACTCAGTTTCCCTGTAATATAGATATCCAAATGGTGGTGGGGAAACCCATGCCCACCCCCCAGAAAAAAAGCTCTCTAACCCGTGTTCCGACTCCGGACTACTCGGAGACCCCAACGTCTCCGGTACTTAGACGCATCCGAGAGGCTGCCCTAAGGCTTTGGCTTGCCGGAAGGCATTCACATGGCCTGAGGGGGCTGAAGAAATCTGAAGGCTGAAGGTTGGGTTGGCATTATAATATACCATATATCAAGAGGGGAATGCCGTTCTTGTTGCACCATGGCACAACATAGGGTACATCAAGGAGTTGTTGTTTTGTTGTTAAAGAAATGATACCGCTTAGCCATGCGTTTTGGCACGCTGATTGCATAAGGAAGAAGCCGTAGTGTGTCAGGTCGAAGACACCGTCGATAAACATTCCTTGCATGCGCTCCAAGTCATGCAACGGTGAGGCAATCGTCTTTGAGAGCACATCTACGCACATCTCTATATATATATATATAAATCTCTTTCAACTTCAGAAGGAACCACACGTCTTGTAGCATGAGCATGGTACCAAACTACAAGTCGGGATGTATTTAAAACATTTTGAAACGCTAGATGGGCAAAAGAAACATAGCAATGCAGCTTCTACTAAGGTGCTTGACACCCTGATTCTGTAGAGGATTGGTAAATAAAGCAATTATATTAGATGATATTAGCAAATTTGATGTTAACAAACAAACACCTTGTGATAGAGACAAACATCTATTCCAGTAAGCTCGCACCTGCACGTTGGATTCCGTAACTACGGTCATAGCACACATTCTGCGCATCTATAGATGGAGAAGCTTGCATTTTGGACAACCTGCAATTGCAAACCATTTCTAGCATTTTTCCTATACAAAACCCACAAAGATTGAACAAACATATCCCCTGATATGATCTGCACCGAGAAAATAACTATCACACATAGCACAAAAAATTGCTACTTCGAGCTGCGAATTGTTCTGGGCCCATGTGGGATTGACAGTTGCACATGGCAGCGAGCTTCTGCTCCTGCATCGACGCATTTCACCCTTGATGGCGTGTTCCGTTGATGGCGGTTCCTCGTCGAGAGGCTAACGGCGAGGTCTCATCGATAGGAACCACAATCAACGGGAACGAATGGTGACCCTGCCCATCTCCACTGAAAACATTTGCCTCCATACCCTCTCTGCTTGAGCCCCTCGAAATGGGCAATGTGGCAAGGTGGTATCGGAGTATATAAGTCCCTCATGTTTCGTCAAATACCGGGCCAACTGAGGGTCCATCTATGTTTGGACTCAATGATGACAAGCAGTACTGCAGCTTCAATAACGTGGTCCTGTGTAGGAAATTCACACATGTTGGTGGCGTTTGGAATATCCATCAGACCGCACCCTGTAAGACTGCACCGTCGAATCCCATGTTGCAAGTGACCCGCCTGAGAGCATCTGCCGAACCTCTGCCACTTGACGCCTCGACCGAGACGGGCAATGGAAAAGTGCGGCTGGCTTCGTGTGCGGCTGAACAAACACCGGTCGACCGCCGGATCCATGTGCCAACAATCCAGTGAACAAAACACTATTTATGTAGTCATCATATATGGCCCATTGCTATGGCCCCTTCACTCAAATAGATTCTATCCTCTATTGGCCTCTATATACCTCTCCTTACGCACGCATGTGTTCGTAAATTAAGGTGTGGGAGTTTAAATTGGCACTTCCTGTGGTCTTGAACGCCTCCCCCTCGCCTAGTCTCGCTCGCTTCCTGGGATGAGGCTGCAGGTAAGGCCACAGCTGCGTTTGCCAAGGCCGCCTGGGGCTGATCAGCGACCGACTGGGGCGTGTCCAAACCTGCAAGTGAGTAAGATTCTTCTGTGAAGCCCTAGTAGCGTCCTTGCTCCTAGTAGTACGGCCAGGAGCCCCATAGTAGCTTCTTGTTCCTAGTAGCGATGCCAGGAGCCCCTCGTAGCGTCCTTGCCCATGAGTGCAACATGAAAATGGACTCCACTGCCGCGCGATCGGTGACTGCGCCATCGGGCAGGATCGGCGAAGATTGCGACGTCGTAAAGGGACTTTATCTGGTCCGTCCTATTCCTATGTCATCCTAATTTCACGTTCCGAAGCATGAAGCCTTATTCTTCAGTGAAAAGTACAAAGCAAAAGTGTGTTTAGAAAGGGATCACTTCTCAGCGACGATCGGGTCCGTCAGTGGGGAGGAATGGGGTCTATACGTCCGTCTTTTGTCTCGAAGCCATGGCAGCCCATGACACCGAAAGTGTCAGTCACACCTGGCAGCCCATGCACCCGCCGAATCCAGGCAAATGGATACTCCACAGCTAGGGTCAAGCAATTTCAACAAGACACAAACTGACTGGGAACTTCTCTCTCATACCCTTCAAGTGGCACGCTTATGGTTCATGGCCCACGGGGCTTGCATGCTGTTGGACTGTCCTTTTTGTTTATCCCTTTTTGGAACGGGGGCCCTTGCCTTCCATGGAGGTGAAGCAGGCGGACCCCTTTTGTCGGCGATGGGGGTTCTTCATTCGCTGCTCCGTTCGTAGCGATGCGTTTGGAGCCCCGTTCGTCGCATACTTGCTCCGTTTCTTGACACATCATTCCAAGTAGCACAAAGTCGGAGCAAGAGCGCTCGCACGGTGCTTCGGAGCCATGCCAGAAGCGCCATGGCGTCAGACCGCCCAGGCGTTGATTAGGCATGGAGTGGGCGAGGCGTGGTGACCGGTCGCTCCGAGGCTGGGATAGACTGGGTTCTCCATGTCAACCAGCAAGAATCAGAGGGTTCCTTTAAAAAATAACTAAACGGGCACCAAACTTATAATGCAGTATCAACTCATACAAAGAATTCACGCTGGAACTTCACACCTCCTCGAGAAGACTTTCGGGATATACCACGAGTCATGACGTTGCCCAGGTCAAAGGGTGAAATCAGTAGATACTACATGGTGTGCATGCATGTATGCATCTGAAGAACAAGTAAAACAGAATACATAATGACGTTGCCAACAGTATCCATCACCAGCTGTCAGTTTGACAATGTTCAACTGTGAAAACATAGAAACAGCACTTGGCTGTGCCACATGCTTGGTTGCCTCACACTTGCTGATGCTCTGACATCCTGTTGGTCTTTCATTTCTCATTCGATGGCTGCTCTGAACTCACTGGCAGCTGCGAGCGTGTGGAGTTCAACCTGTGACAGTCAAGGCATCCCTCACATCGCTGTGACCGTCCACGTCTCGCCTTTCGGATGCCGATGCCAGGCCCCTCGTCCCAACCTCGCCTGGGAGTCGTTCCTCCGCCCACATGGATCATCCGATTCTTCATCCCAATTCAAATCACCCCCTGATGTTTGCCCCAGATCCCTTCTTCATCCATTCCTCACAGCCTCACAGGTCGGCCCCAAAACGGCCTCAAAGTGAGGCAGCTGGAAGCCACCGGCGCCCTCCGCGTGCCGACGGAACTGGAGCGCCGCCACCTGGGCGACGTGACTGCGGACGTGACTGCGCCACCGTGGCGCCAGGTGTTTGGTGTTTGGTGTTCGAACGAAAGCACGTAGTTGAGTGAATGTGAGCACAGTGAGCGGAGAGAAAAGGAAACTGCATGTTTGAAGCAAGTTAAGACCTTAATTCCAAAATGTGATACTTGTGAGGACGACGACGACAACAAGGGGAAAAAAATCAACAACAACAACTAAGGACAAGAACAAGAACATTGCCGGAATCAGAACATGTGACTGTGAGGCTTCAAGAACGTGAAATACGACTTATTCTGCTAGCTTTTGCCGTCGCAAAGGTGCAGTTCAGGATCCGCATTGTCCAATGAACAGTCCCACCAAATCACCTTCGACAAGGCCGTTGGGCCGAATCATCTTGCCACAAAGCTCCACAGCCCTGGCTGACTTGTATTTGATATCAATCTTATTCTTCCCTAGGGATCCAAGTACCTTCTCAGAAGGTGATTGGAGACGGAGTTATGTAGGTACCTTCTGAGAAGGTACTTGGATCCCCAAGGGCTTATACAACATGTTGTGCTTCACAGGGTGCCGAAAGCCAATAGCTCAACCGGATCGGCCACACTCCCCGCGTTAGGATCGGCCGGAAGAGCCACTGGAGCCTATGCAAATCAAAAGGCAGCTTCTGTCTGTTGCCCTAGAATCCCTAGAACAAACATCCATGTTCATCAAGAGACCCAGTAATTAGGGCCTGTCTGGGAGGCCCATTGTCCACAAGAACATTATATAGGCTGTTTGCATTATTACAAATTATATATATATATGAGACAACCCAGGTTGTCCGATCTTTTAGAGGAAATTCGCACACGGATGGCTTTTGTTGTTCTTTTCTGGGAACCCTCCGAAGGATGATCCGCTAAGCCGCACCGCAGACCTGCTGGGCACCCGACGTACCACCCAGTACTGTCCAGGAATCCCCAAAGGCCTCACACGCCGACCCGTTTGGATGGGGGACACAGGGAAGAGCGAGACAAGGGGGCTCCGACATCTCTTCACATCTGCCCATCTCATGAATGACTTGGCCCCCCAAGGAGAACGCTGGGGGCTCTCATTTTGCAAGGAGAACGCTGAACCCACATGGATCATTGGAGAGTGGATGCAAAGGGCTGGTCAGAGGGCCTCAAATAGCAAAGGGTCTCACCGCAGATCCTCTATTATTGTTTTTATCTTGTTTTGAGCCTGTTCGGTCTTGATTCTCCCTCTTTCTTGAAACCATCCTCTTACAGTACCAAGACCTGCGTATGGAAGAACCCTCAGCCTTTGACTTGAACAAAAGCATCGACATAGAACCCTCGGCATGAAGAGGTTCGATGCGTTGCAAATTCCACCAGAATCCCCCAGCTGCAAACCGTTAGCTGCGGCTCATACAGCTAATGATCTGCCTCCAAGCTCTTGGCAAAAGCTGGCAAAAGCTGGCAAAAGCCGCATCTGAACTAAGATCCAGGTGTTCTTTGAACATTGAACTATGAAGACCGACGTAATTAATTGGCTTTTAGTCTTTATATAGATGTCTTTAGTGTCTTTTAAGCTTATTTCTTGAGTCTTTGGGGATCCAACGAACACTCACACCAGACTCTCTCAGCTTCTGGTCCGGCCTACAATCCGCCGGCGCCGGAACTCCTCCGGCGCCTCCCCCCTCATGTGGGCTCCGCCAAAACGCAGCCTGCCAAAACGCCGTTCTTGTGTGGCTTTCTTCGGGGCTCTGACCACTATAGTCACTAGACTTGTTCTACAACAATCGTGCACAAACGGGAGCAGAAAAACTGGTGGAGGAGACGATCCAAAAAGCAGAAGTCTGCTCTATGGGTACCAGGACCCCATGGTCAGGGTGGTGGACGTCCTGCTAGAGGGATGTAGCCAGAAACAATTGTGGTACATAGTACTCCCATCCGTGGGCCTTTCTGAAACATTCATAGTTGCTGCAGTCGTTGAGTCCAGTGTGGTCCGTTTTGACCAAGACATGGGCCACCTAGCTTGCCCCAAACCCCTACCCTAACTGCCCAAAGAAGCCAATGATTAGAATAGAACTCCATCAATGACTCCGCGAGTTGGTTTCTTTGCATAATGGCATAGTGACCTCAAAGAAGCTTAAAGGTTTAAAGATCAACTGCAAGGTCGAAACATGTGTATTGGCCAAGTAAGTGCAGGAAAAGAACTCCCAAAACAACGCAAGTGATCCTCCATTAAGTGACGGGAGCTCTTCACCTCCAGTGTTGGCTTCATTTGGGACGCCGGACGGTCTGGTGCACACCCTTGTAGCGCGCAGCACAGCATCGGAAGGGGCTCATCTGACGTCAGCGAGTGTGTCGCATCGCGAATACTGAGGTGGGATGATGTGGAGGACTCTTCAAAAGGAAAAGTCGGATGAAAAGGAAAAAAGATGAAAAAAGGCCATCCAAGTTTTTGATGTGGATATTATATGTGAGATTGTTGGTATCATCTAAGTTGATTCGTGAAAGGAAAACCATGGCCGAAACATGGCCGAACCACGCATGATTGTCCCCTGGCAGTCTCAGACGTGTTTCTTTTGAGCTATAGCAAGTGGGGAGCTTGACAGGAAAATTGGGAATACACTCCCCCCATCAAACCACAGTCCATGAGTGCCTCCTGCGCACGTCGTCGAAGCAGGGGATGGGGTCATTCAACATCACTTTCTCAAACATTCAACTTGAAAGAAAGCGCCGAACGTGAATGAAGGTTGTCTTTTCAACCTCTGAATAGTTCCGTTTTTTGCGTGTGAGGTAGACATGTCATGACATTTCAGCTATTGCTTTCCACAGCGCATCGAATGGCGGACCAAACATGACCAAACTATGGCTCCGAGCCATGACAGAAAGGCAGAAGGAGCAGCAGCGGCACCGCCACCTGAACAACGGCCGTTGCACACCAGGGTCACCAAGAGCAGACACTCATATTTTCTCTGGGCCAAACATCTGTACTTACATGAATGTATCTCCGAGTCTGACATGCTCCGAACTCTAGACATCTCGGAGTCGGGGCTCCTCAGCTCTTTCCAGAAATCCAAGGCCCACACAAAGGCCACTGGGCATTCTAAAGTGTAGGTGCAGAAAAAGCACAAGTTGCAAACAAACTCTGCCGAATTTCCGCGACTGCGACGCCCAAATTCGCCGCAGTCGACCATCTTCTAGCCGTTCCAAACACATCGAGGACGGCCTGGGCTTTCTGCTTTCCTTGAGGTGCTCTTCCAAGGCCTGGAGTCGAATGTTTAGCTGGAGCAACCAGAGTTGATCCACCACCCAGGACCCGGGTGGTTTGTAGACTCCCCTGACCAGGTGTGATCGAATTTGTTTTCATCTAACTATTCTTTAGGTAGTGGAGATGGTCTTCTGTACTTCATTATTTGCTATGATTTCCTGTACCAGTTGGTTTGAATGGCACACTATGGCTTGCAGCCATAGCCTGATGACTGCCTATCGCATCCAAGCTCCGCACAAAATGCTCTTCAGGGCTTCTGGTATGTCCCATTAACATTCCAAACACGGAATCACGAAGCTGAATTCCCATCCCCGCATCTTCGACAACAGCATTCAACTATATACAAACATATCGTATCAATATTTTAAAGATATTATAAGCATGATAAGTCTAATTCTCCATGAACCCTCTTAGTACAGTCTACAGTAATTCTCCATAAAACCTCTTAAAGCACCGGTTGCCCAAACCGTACACCCATTCCTTGGCGCTGTGAAAACACCCACCAGTCCATCGGGTTCCACCTTCATGCGGAACATGTGCAACACCAACTCTTCGTGCTTCTGCCGGCTCTCCCTGAGCCGTTCCATGCGGAATTTGTTCAGTGACTCCACCAGTGAAAGACGGAGGTTGCATCAAAATAGGGAGACCGCTGTTTTTTTTTCCATGTTTTATACACTTCCATATCCTGAAACGTTGAAACGTGGATTGGACTTCATGCCTCCTCTCAGTTTTTGGACCAATGAAGAGTGACATCCATGTGACATCACTACTGAACCGAAGGAAGGGGTGAAAGGGGGGTGGTTGATGCTGTGGTTCTCAGGGGGGCATCCTGAATGCTGGGTGAATAGGAAATATAATGAAATATATATATATAATATATATATATTAAATATAAGAATTCTCAGCGTTGTGGAAGTTTCCGAGAACTGAGAACAAGTCAAACGGAACGTCCAGCAAAAAAAATAAGCTAACTATCTCTGTCAAGCCACCCCAGAATTCTGTGGAATCTTCGCAAACAAGGGTCCACTTTGAAACCACGGCCTACTCTTCCTGGAACACAAAGGCGTTCTGCCATGTTCTGCCTACCATCCAAGCAGGCTGTGCGCTCGTCCCCAAAATCCTGTATCATATCGGATGTTTTAGCGTTTTTGCACCGGTGAAACGTGCCTTTCGTTTCACGACGTTCCGGGCCACACCTTTTGGGACAACACCGTTCACTACATGAACAACTCCGTTGAGACCTCAGGGGTCCTGTTTGTGACGCATGAGGTGACCTTTGTGCGAGATCCTCATGAATGACCTCATGGGGACTTCTATTTGTGTTAAAAGGCCTTCAAGAAGGGAAATAGAGGGGACACCGCGGACTCTCGTCTCTTGGATGAAAAGACTTCTCTGAGTCCCCAAGCAAACTGTTGGTCAAGCTCCTTACAACTTTCGATCGAAAAGCAGCGAGGCGGAGCTTGGTCGATGAATCTTGACTGATGGGGGATGTGGATCTGTGGGTGTTCACCACTTCAAAGGCTTCCACATGAGGATCTGCAAAGTGAGGTGTATCTTTGCTCGACTCCAGGGTGTATCTTTAATGAAGCCACGATGTTTGGGTTTCTTTGGTTTGGATCTTTGAGTTTGAGGTTTAGCTCTGGTCCTCACTATTGAAAGGCAGCAAACAATGCACATCGAATAGCAAACAGCCCTTCGCTGCAATTGTCTGGCCTGGCCTAAAGAATTGTCCGGTCAAAGCTGCGGTGTATCCTACTTACACATGCGGAGGATCTTCTTTTTGGTGGTGGTGGTGGTCGTAGTAGTAGTAGTAGTA